CTGGGAACCCAGTTAGACTTTGAGATGGTTACTCAGTTAGACTTTGAGCTGGGTACTCAGACTTTGAGATGGGGACTTAGTTAGACTTTGAGATGGGGACTCGGTTAGACTTTGAGATGGAGACTCAGACTTTGAGATGGGGACTTAGTTAGACTTTGAGATGGGTACTCGGTTAGAATTTGAGATGGGTCGTCAGTTAGACTTTGAGATGAGTACTCAGTTAGGCTTTGAGATGGGGACTTATTTAGACTTTGACCTGGGTTCTCTAACAGAATTTAAGAAGGGAACCCAGTTAGACATTGAGATGGGGACTTAGTTAGATTTGAGATGGGAACCTAGTTGGACTTTGAGATGGGTACTCAGTTCGACTATAAGATGGAGACTCTGTTAGACTTTAAGATGGGGACTCAGTTAGACTTTGAGCTGGGTACTAAATTAGAATTTGAGATGGGAGCCCAGTTAGACTTTGAGATTGTTATTCAGTTAGACTTTGAGATGAGTACTCAGTTAGACTTTGAGATGAGTACTCCGTTAGACATTGACATTAGTCTTAGTTAGACTTTGAGCTGGGTACTCAGTTAGAATTTGAGTTGGGGACTTAGTTAGACTTTGAGCTGGGTACTCAGTTAGACTTTGAGATGAGTACTCCGTTAGACATTGAGATGGGTCTTAGTTAGACTTTAGCTGGGTAATCAGTTCAACTTTGAGCTGGATATTCAGTTAGACTTTGAGATGGGTACTCAGTTAGACTTTGAGCTGGGTACTCAGTTCGACTTTGAGCTGGGTACTCAGTTAGATTTTGAGCTGGGTACTCAGTTAGAATTTGAGATGGGGACTCAGTTAGATTTTGAGCTGGGTGCTCAGTTAGACTTTGAGATGAGTACTCTGTTAGACATTGAGATGGGTCTTAGTTCGACTTTGAGCTGGGTAATCAGTTCGACTTTGAGCTGGGTAATCAGTTCGACTTTGAGCTGGGTACTCAGTTAGACTTTGAGATGGGTACTCAGTTGAACTTTGAGATGGGTACTCAGTTCGACTTTGAGATGGGGACTTAATTAGACTTTGATCTAGGAACCCAGTTAGATTTTGAGATGGGGACTTAGTTAGACTTTGAGCTGTGGACGCGGCTCGACTTTGACTAAAACTGTGGGTTCATATATATAAATCCACTCTATCTGGTGGTTTTTCTTGTAATTGTATTCAAATAACATTTCTTACAACTTGTCGGTGTATCTGCTAGTACATGTTTAGCGGAAAACAATGATATTATAATCGTGAATTGGTTCATTTAGAGTGAATGATATACTAGAGTATTTTTTTGCTAGAATGTTGTTGAAAATGTGTAGACATTTTGAATTAGTTTAACGTGCCACATGCGCATGTGCATTAGTGTACTTCATTAAATCATC